GAAGTAGTCGCACGCAATTCTGTTGTTGGTCTCGCTGAGGGAATAGCGAAAAACGAAAACAGGTACAGGATGGGAGAAAGCTAGTTCCAAGGATAGAGGAGATAATAGGGGAGAAGTGGGTCCATACAGATTTTACACTGGGGCAATTGAGAAAACAGTGATCTATAGTTTCTTTACGAGAACAGAAGGCGCACCTATCTGAGTCGATATATCCCCAATTCTTTCGAGAATCGCGGACCTTAATAGCGCGAAGTACAATTTTCTAGAGTATGTCGTTCTTATAATTTTCAGAAAAGTTATCTCGCACTAAACTCAAAAATTTGTCAAGATCAAAGTCAATCGGAAGGAAGGGAGTCCAAGAGCGATGAAGAATTGAAGATGTGGAGTTTTCCTTCAAGAGAGTTCGATAACATTTGTTGGAAAAACATTCAAAATCGCACCACTCCGTGCGGGAGAGAATCCCGCGTTGAGTGGTGAGAGCCGAGAGAACATTCTCATAATAGGGCGTCAAGCTCCTTGTACTCGGGGTGGAGTTATCTCGAGGAGAGCTCCACTCCGAGCGACAGGAGGCAAGCTTAGAGCTTAGAAAATATCTGGCCAAATGAAAGGATTTTGATTCGCGATCATCTAGATTGGAAATTACTGAGGCTAATTTAAGGCCAAGTGGTTGGTCGTCGCGCGTACGCCATGCCCCCAACCACATGGCCTCTGTTTTCGTGAGACTAAGGCGTGCTCCAGAGCCACGCTCGTAAATATTAATCATGTTGAATAGAACTTGTAGAGAGCGACAAGATTTCACTATGCAGATCGTATCGTCAGCATAATTTCCAACTTTATAGCAGAGACCATGTGCGCCTGGAAGGAGAAAGCCTTCGATCTCAGAATTATTTCGGATTTTGCATGCGAGAGTTTCAACGCACAAAACATAGAGCAGGGGAGACAGGGAATCCCCCTGTCTTACCCCACGAGACAAAGGAATGGAATTGCATCGGTTAGCCATTCATTAAAAATAACACGCATATTGGCGCCATTATATACAGTGTGAAGGTGTAGTCTGATCGTTCGGGTGAGTGTAATCCTGAGAAGGACTGTTGTCGGTGGTAGTGACTGACGTTTCGACAACCTGTGCGGAAGTCATCATCAGAGTCAAGTGAATGATTGTTGTCAGTAGAATGTTCTTATTCCAGTTCGTGTGAAATGATCGGTTGGTTTTGCCGTGATGTTATTGGCTGTAAGACTCGAGTGACGTAAGTCGGTCGTGATTGGTCTGTTTCGATCTGTCGGTAAAGTTAGGTCGTTCTTTTTCGGTCGTTTGTGATGTTTATGTCGTGAATGAGTCGTTTGTATGG